ATTCGTAAAATCATGTTTAATCAACGTATCTAATTTTGTATACAATGTGACGTACTTAAAAATGAATTTAACGTTACACAAATTCAAGTATTAACGTTTTTACATTAAAATCAAAATATAATATTATTCATGTCATACAACTAAAATATTTCTATACCTTTTCAACTATATTAACTGTATTAACTTTTTATTTTATTAACTCTATGCATTTTTAAAGTATTAAATCTCCAAAGTAACTGCTTTTTAATTTAATACAAAACATAATACTTCTATGTATTAGAATGCATGCAGAATTTTTGGTGAGAATAATTGGCAGTGCTTTAAAAATTTTAGAATTTCTGGATATTCCAACATATGTAACAGGAAAATATATATCTTTATATCTTTTAATGATGAAATATATTTCAGTTTCTTCATTTGTTAAGATTATTTTACTGGATTATTCATTTGCATAAACTCTCGCAGTCTAACTATAACTCTAGAACAATCATTTTTAACTCTTTGCGTTGGAAACTTGTTCGTAGTGCCAAGCAAATTTTTTTTAAAAACCTAGATTATGTATCAAAGACTTGTATTATGATAAATGTGAACAATACATCTCGATCTTTTGTCATCTACGTGTTGATCATGTGTGGATCACATCCCATGCGGATCTTTTCCTAATTTTGTCTAAAATATCTGTAGCAAAAGATCAAATAGTAAAGATTCTACAAATGCAAATACTTATCGATAGACGAGTATAGTAATAATAAAAGTAGAGAATAGCATTCGGAGAATCAAGAAGAAGGGACATAATTGTAACAAAAAGAAGTAACATGAGTGTAATTTTTGTATGATTTTAGAAGGATTAGTTTATTAGGTAATACATACGAGAACTTGCGGAAAAGTTTCAACTGGTTTGACGAACAAAATGAAAGAAAATTTTTTGAAACCTTATATCTGTGTCAATAAGGAAAATTTTAATAATTCGATTTATAAATTTCAAAGGTGTGTGTGTGTGTGTTCACAAACGCCGCTCTGTAAGAAGTCGAATTAGTACTATCCATTGCTTTCAAAGCCACTATATTAAAAATATAGTGCAACCTAGTGTTATCATACCTACGATATATGCTTATCTGCGATTATAGGTATAAATATCTAATATTTTCTTTCTTTGTGCACTCATATTGATTCTTGAAGTTGAATTTATTTATAGTAAATTGAAGATGGAGGGTTCATTCTTCAGGAGTATTTTTAATTGTCCCTCAGAGCTTGTAAACAAAATAGACCGTTCTGGAAGAATCAATGCGATCATTCAAGCCTTGCGACTCGTTTTTATGGTTGCCAATTGTCAACGACTATAATAAAAGGTGCAAGGCTAGAATAATCATATCTTCACTTTTCAAATTTTCCATTTTTGTTTGCACCCTGAAAATTAATTAGGGTAAATTTACTGTACTTCCAATATAACCACATCTTCCGTTTTAGACCTGAAATAATTCTGATGTCGTCTATTTTTTACCAGCTACCAGCAGCGTGTAAATTGCCGAAAAAATTGTTATGCAAACATCCGGAAGTAGCTAAGATTTGCGGGGTAAGGTCGCATTTGATTATGTCTACTTATTGTACTTTTTTAGCATCTTCGTTATAAGCATAATGATAAAAACTCTATACATTTGTTTGTTTAGAAAAAGTGTTAATCGGAACTTTTAACGGGAACACAAATATGGAATGGGCACCGGTTCCAGATGTCAATACAATAATCGAAAAAAATGTTTTGGATATTTTATGAATTAAAGTAGTGTTCCTGTATATCAAATACACATTTTATGTGGACAATAAACAGATTATTCTACGAGGTTATTATTCTTCACCACATCGCACACGAAAACCGCATACTGTTAAGTAGTTATCTAGTAAAGTTCGAATTGCATTTAGAAATCAACTCATAATCTATACGTGAAATATTCTGCATGAAATTTTCCATATAAAAGGAGTATATGTAATACATACTTACCATATAAGAAGTATACAGTTCCTCTTTCTGTTCGTTTCCGTGATTCTCTTGTTAAGACTTTTCGTGACACTAGTAGTCGAAGTAAGTTAATGTGCTTTCTATATTACATTGTGTCCCGCTAACGTGAAAACATAGAGGTACAAACATACACTTGTTGCTGGAAGTATGTTGATAGTATTTCAAATGGAATAATATTTTTAAAGTAAGTTGAAATGACATGAATTTTGAAACGTTACTCCGGTTAGTTTTCTACGAGTAAACGACATTTTTTTAGATTGCAATTGATTGGAATGATAATATAATGCTAAGAAATGATGTTTTTTTTTAACTTTTCTATCCGAACCTATAAAGAGAATTTGAAAATTGAGTTTTGATGGTCACGGTAATCCGTTCCCATGATGAAAATTGAATCAAAATCGGTTAATGCAGAATGAAGCTAGAGATATAAAAAGATTTTAAAATCTTCAGATTCCTGACAGTTATTGGCTGAAAGTGTAAAAAAATCGGGGAAAAAACTGTGAATCTCGTGATCTTTAATTATTTAATTATCTATTATATTTCAATATATTATAGACTCGTATAAGAAATTTTAAAAACGTGAGTTTTTTAATTTATTTATTATCCCGACCAATTGCAATCAAAAGAAATTTTTTTATTCTTTGGGGCTCCTACCTTGGGAGAAGTCGATGTCGAAGGAACCAATAAAAAGTTATAAAGCTCAGTTCATATAGAATCTTCGGGATGGTTATTAGTTTGTTTATAATTTTATAGGCAAAAATTAGACTTATGAGACTTCTTTTTTTATGATTGATTGCAAACAAATCAATATCAACAATATTTCTTCACGTGGAAGGAAAATTATATTGGAAGGAAAAGAAGCTACATGAGTTTAATTTTTGTAGGATGTTAAAAGGACTAGAACAAGAACGTGTAAAAAAATCTTCTGGAAAAATCTCAACTGTTTCGAATAAAAAACCTTACACAAACCTTATAGAAACCTTATATCTGATCCAATAATGAGAATTTAAGCACTGCGATTTATAACTTTCAGAGGTATAAATGACAATAAACAAACAAAAAAACGTCGCTCGCTGATAAGCCGAATTACTAATTGCAATCAAATGCATTATGTTACAAAAGTTCAACCCAGTATTATCATATCCGCAATACATCTCCATCTACAATTATAATTATAAATACCGAGTAATTTTTTCTTTTGAACATTCATATCGATTCTAGAAATAGGATTTAACTTATTATTATGTGATTATAATATATATTATACATTAATGAGATTTTAAGTTTCAATACGTATATTTCTCAAAAATGATATTTACAAATTGCCATCGCGCTGGCGAGAGGTCAGCAGTAACGACGGAAATTATATTCTACAAAAAATATTATTAAATGTCTGAAGAATTTATTATTTCCATTCACTTGTCTAACATAAATTAACATAACTCTAAAATATCCGAACAATAAATTTGCCAGTAAACAATACACGTGTTGGTAAATAAAAAGGCTCATTGTTACTCGTTATGTGATTTACGCCACTATGATACTAACTCATTCATACACTTGCTATGAATAACAAAGTAATGGAGAAGTCCACTTTCAGTGCTTTCTTATAAATGTTTTGTAGAATGCAGAATAAATTTTGATGAATTTAATTGTTTCAATATGACGACAACGAAGCATTACGTGCTATTCTGAAGTTTGCGACGTAATCGTTGTAAATATTAATCTGGAACAAAAAATAATTTCCCTTTTCATCTATGTTAAGGGATTTAGAATTACGACTGTTTAAATGATCCTAGCTGATCTTGTTGCGTGAAAACACGATCCGTTCACGTTACATTTATGTAGCAGTCTGAACGTGCTACGCGATAGTTGCTTGGCAATATGTAAAACATTATAAGGTAAGTGTATCACTTACCATACTCCTCCCTGATTACTGTGTCCTCACAATAATTTTATTTATATTTAAAAACATTATTCAATTAAAAATGTTGAATTTTACAAATAAAATTTCATCTATATTTTTCATAAGCGAATCAAAATCTTTTGGTTTCTAAAGACCTTGGAAATACAAAATCTAAAGTTTTGGAATCCTGAAAACGCTTAAGAAACGCGTAACAAATAAAAATGAAAAATATATAAAATGAAGCTTTGCGAACAAGAAAGATAGCTATTATATTCATAAAACTCCACCAAATTACAAGGACCACAATAATATAATCGGCTTCTTGAATATAGTTTTTCATTTAAGCATTAGCTTAAATAAATTATTTATTAACTGAAACAGATTTATGTCTTGTTTGTATTACGGTGCAATGTAACTATATTAAGATTTCATAGTTATTTCGATGCATGCCTTGATTACTAAATTCTGTCAAGGAAAGTGCAATCCGTGCCTTTATTTATGAATTATTAACGGCAAACACAGACCAATGAGAGGGGAGCTCGTCTGCTGCAAAGCGACCATGCCAACGATCGGTCGGAGCACATTTCGATTTCGAACGAAACTCACTGGCTTGGCCGCCATACGTCAGCCGATATCGATTCTCAATGGTCAGTGTGTTTGAATAATAACTTGTAAACAAAGCTGTGGATTACATTTTCGCTGAGGTAAATATTAATTCAAATGATCTTATAGACCTCCCCCCCCCCATTTCCCGGAAATAACATAATTTTGGTATTCTCTTAGAATGGAGTCGAATTCTGTATGACAGATAAATAATAAAAAATATGGTTTTGGATTCTAAATAATTAAATAATTGATGAGGTATTAATTGCTGCGAAAAATAATATATACAGTGTATATTCCGAATACTGCACTTTGAATCGTTGCTGTATGTCAAATGCACATTTTCTTTGAATAATAAGCAGGTAAATGCCTTTGTCACGTCCTACAGGAAAAATGCACACAGTTGAAGATTTATTCCGTACATTTGGAACTGCATTTTCAAATATTTTCATAATCTATATTTGGTACGTTCTGCACGGAGTTATCCATGTAAAAGGAGTAACTGACTGCGACAGTCATCGGCTACTGAAAAGTTCAAGATAATTGAACCTACAACCATGAAACAAAGATTACAGTTCCTTTTTCTTTTCGTCTCCATGATTTTGTCGTCAGGAATTTTTATGACACCAGCAGTAGGAGTAAGTTAATTTGTATTTTATATTATCGTACTTGGTACGTTCCGAAGAAAATATTATATTATTGTATATATTATTGTATTGTATTTATATTACTGTATTGTATATATTATTGTATATATTATTGTATATTGTATATTATTGTCAATCGCTTTTGGATTTATTTTTGACCTATTATCGAAATTGTTCTTTGAAACCAAACAGCTTATCTATTACCGAGTATTGTAATTAAAGAAGAGCAGAAATGCATTCGGGGAGTAAGAAAGAAGAGGTTGTATTGGATGGCAAAGGTGCTACATGAGTCTAATTTTTGGAGGATGTTAAAAGAACTAGATTACTAGTGAACGTGTAAAAGAATTTTCGGAAAAATTTCAACTGCTTTGAATAAAAAAACAAAATAATAGTGTAGCAGTTTTAACGCCTTCGCGACAAGTGCAATACGTAAAACATTATACTTTCCATAAAAACATATCTTGCGTTTTTGACTTGAAATAATTCGCGTGTCGTCTACCTCTCTTAGGAGCCACAAGTGTGTGATTTCATACCAAGAAAACTTTTTTGCGGATACGATACACCACGTGAAATATGCAAGGCATGGTAACGTCTGATTACTCCTAGTTATTACTCACTTTTAACATTTTCATTAAAATAGTAATAATAAAAATATTGTGTATTCGTTTGTTTCGATGAAGTATTAATTGCCAACGATTCTTTGAAATGGAGCATCGATATGGAATGAACGCCACTTCCAGATGACACACCAATAATAGGAAATCATGTACTGGAATATGATATAATTAAATAGTGTTCCCGTATATCTCAAACACGCAATTTTTTGGACAATATACAGATAAACGGAATCACCCTTCGAGTTTACTACTCTTTGTCACGTTCTACACGAAAACCGCACATAGTTAAACATTTATCGCGAAGAGGTGGATTTGCATTTTTTCAAATATTCTAATAATCTACATTAGAAATGTTCTGCATGAATTTGTCCATATAAGGAGATGAAACCAATGTGACAATCATTGGTAGTACAGTAGTACAGTAGAATCTGCAATCATGAACTACAAACTACGGCTCCACTTTCTGTTCGTTTCCAAAATATTGTGGCCAGAAATTTCTGCGACAGGAGCATTTGGAGTAAGTTAAACTGCATTTAAACTGCGTTCCGAACAAAATTGATTTTATTTCATATTATGTTCGTTCAGGAGTATTGCGTCTCGTTAATGTATAAGCACTGAGTATAATAACTAAGTCGGACGCTCTCATGACTGATCCGACATAACACATAGTTCTTAGGGTCTTATAATTAGGGCCTTATAATTAGTCTACGGACGTTTATGCACTTACGATATGTAGTGAATATGCAGACTATGTATATGCAAGAATGTGCAAACTGTGTGCAAGATATATACAAACTATATACATCACATAGATTCGATAAATATGCATTTGCATAGATACTAAAATATTCGTAAAATCATGTTTAATCAACGTATCTAATTTTGCATAGAATGTGACGTACTTAAAAATGAATTCAACGTTACACAAATTTAAGTATTAACGTTTTTACATTAAAATCAAAATATAATATTATTCATGTTATACAAATAAAATATTTCTACACCTTTTCAACTATATTAATTGTATTAACTTTTTATTTTATGAACTCTATACATGTTTAAAGTATTAAATCTCGAAAGTAACTGCTTATTAATTTAATAAAATACATAATATTTTTATATATTAGAATGCATGCAGAATTTTTGGTGAGAATAATTCGCAGTGCTGTAAAAATTTTTGAATTTCTGGATATTCCGAAATATGTAACAGGAAAATATATATTTTTATATCTTTTAATGATGAAATATACTTCAGTTGCTTCATTTGTTAAGTTTATTTTACTGGATTATTCATTTGCATAAACTCTCGCAGTCTAGCTATAACTCTAGAACAATCATTTTTAACTCTTTGCCTTGGAAACTTGTTCGTAGTGCCAAGCAAATTTTCTTTAAAAACCTAGATCATGTATCAAAGACTTGTATTATGATAAATGTGAACAATACATCTCGATCTTTTGTCATCTACGTGTTGATCATGTGTGGATCACATCCCATGCGGATCTTTGCCTAATTTTGTCTAAAATATCTGTAGAAAAAAATCAAATAGTAAAGATTCTTCGAAAGCAGATACTTATCGATAGACGAGTATAGTAATAATAAGAGTAGAGAATAGCATTCGGAGAATCAAGAAGGAGAATCATCATTGTAAGGAAAAGAAGCAACATGAGTTTAAGTTTCCTAGGATTTTGGAAGGACCAGCTTACTAGGTAATATGTAAAAGAACTTGAGGAAAAATTTCGATTAGTTTGAATATTAAAAAGAAAAAAGAAAATTACGTCTTTTAGACCTTGTATTTGAATCATTAACGAACATTTTAGTTATGCGTTTTACAAATTTCATTAGGGCAGAATCGACACTCAGTGAGTAGTAGAATTAGTACTATTAGTTGCTTACAAATCCATTATCTTAAAAAGAAAGTTCAACGTAGTATTAGCATATAAACAATATATTTTTATTTGCAGCCACAAGTATAGGTATACAAAAATTTCTTCCTTTACCCAATAAGTATTGGACTGTCTTAAAGACGTGATGGGAGAATCCAACAGTTAAATCGGGACCTGGTATCGAACCTATGATCTTTGGCATATGCCGGGCAACTATTTTAATCGATCAAGGTACCCTGGCCACCCGAAAACACATTCTCTCATAGTGTGTTTTACCGATGTGGGTGAGAAGCCCACACCATAGCCACTCAAAGGGCCTGGGCACATGATCATACCGTAAATATATGACTCCTTACACAGTAACGATCTCAATGATCGGCACTTTAGTGACACTTTTCTCAACAGCCACTATCATAACGTGTGAATTTCTAGAAAAACTATTTTTATAAAAAATAAATTGTTGATTGATGTGTGTTCTTGACGACCCCCAATTTGTATAAGAAGGAACAAAATTCATATCGTAATTTTTTTATCTTCTGCTCCATCGCGCGTCCATATTAATGTTGTATCTAAGAGCGCTTGACTGATGTATTTGAAAAAACCATGAAAATATAAAAAACGTCTTGAAGACATACTTCAAGTGCCTGTAAGACGTTTAGAAACAGACGTATTAACCCTTAGCACTCCGAACCATTCTGGACATTGGCTACCAGCTACTCAGCGCCACTTTTCGGCAGAAACGGGCATTTATAGACCCTCGTATTATTTACTATGGTTTTGGAACTAACTAACATATTATAATGATATTGGACTTATATGAATTGGCTGAAATAGAGAAATTTGCAAACAAATCAATATTTTATTTTTTATAATTTTGTTTTGTTGTTGTAATCGCTATCTATGCGAACTCTTTCTCTCGTCGCCTTGTTGTTTGGAGGATATCACTATCACTGCTATCAAAATGATAGACTAACTGTAGAAGAAAACCTTCTACAGTTAGAGAGAGAGAGAGAGTCTTCCTAACATATCTGTATAAACGTCTATCTGGAGCTCATCTTCACTACAACTTGTGTCATGAGACTCATTCGTGTTTGAACGTTTTGCCATTGTTCTAATAAAAAATATGAGTAAATACATAGATTGAAAATTTCTAATTGTTATTACTAACTCACAAGGTAATATTTACCAAAAAAACTTTTACCAAACAATTTATTTACCAAGAGAAGAATCACTTTTCCGATTTTCTCACTCGTTAGATCTATCTATACCGCTCGACGCTTTAAACCAGACCGAGTTCAGCTTTGAAAATCTTTCCCTCCAGATTTTATGATTATAAATCTCACTATACAGTGCGTGCTATGTTCGCATACCGACCTTTCTTCTACAAACTTGCCTTATCGCTCTTTTCAAATGGCGCCTTTGAAGTGCTCGGGCCGTCGTGAGCACGCCTCTCACGTTCTCGTCAAAACCCGCTGACATTTCTTGTATATATCTTAGAAATTTTACTATATTTTGATTTGATTTCTTGTGCCATTTCAAGAGAAAACTTCAGGGAAACATGCAGGTCTCAAAAAGTTGCGCTGAAATAACTCAATTCCCCGTAATCACTAATAAACTTTAATGTCCCATGAGAGTGATATGCTAGAATTACGATGTCCCACGAGAGGGGACAGCGGACTGCAAAGGGTTATAGACGGTTCGAAGCAGACGTCTTAAAAACAGCCAGAAACAGACGTAGTTAAGACGTTGATTTTAGGGCGATTGACGTTCAAATCTAAAATGGACGTAAAATAGACGTCTTTGAAAGGTCCAGTGCTTACTGGGTCCAAACGTTTTTAAGAAGTCTTAAAGACGTTTTCGTGCTATTTGGCTGAGCATTCATGTTGATTTTTGAAATTGAATTCATTTACGATAAACTGAAAATTGGATTGTTCATTCTTCAGGAGGATTTTTAAATTGGTAGTATGACATTCCTCTATGGTATTAGCCAATTATTATTATAATGATTAGGTTCGTATGTAATTTAAAAAATCCTGACAGATTCTGTTCCGTGTATGTTAGATTCGTGTAGCAGTCCGAACGGGCTACGCGATAAGTGCAGTACGTAAACCATTATTATACGTAAACCATCTTTATAGTTGCTGATTGTCAACAACGATAAAAACAAGGCGCAAGACTTGACTAATCGAACCCCCTCTTCTAAAATTATTCGTTTTTGTATAAACAGTGAAGGACAATTGGGGAGAATTTACTGTATTTCTAATACAACCGCAACTTCTGTTTGGGGGGGGGGGGGCATGAAATAATTCTTGGTGTTATCTATTTTTTTAATGGCCATCATCGTGCAAATTGTACTCGTTTACACGTACTGTCTGCCGAGTATGAGCCCATTTGGATACTACTACTTATTACACTCTTTTAGCACTTTCATTATATTAATAATAAAAATTCTATACATTTGTTTGATTAGGTAAAGTGTTATTTGGCAACGATTTTTTTAATGATAATGTCACTATAATAATTGAAAGAAATGTTCCGAATACTAAATGAACTAGGTAATGTTCCAGTATATCGAACGCGCATTATCTTTGGACAGTGATGAGATAAATACAACCATTTTACTAAATTATTACCCTTCGTCACGTCCTACACGAAAACCGCACACGTTTAAACATTTATCTCGTAAACTTGGAATTCCATTTTCAACTGAACTCATAATCTACATGTGGAATATTCTGCACGAAGTGTTCCATATAAAAGCTTAGGGCAATAGAACTTGCAATCTTCAACACTTTATGTTCGCTTCCATGATTTCGTTGTGAAGAATATTCGTAACACCAGCAGTTGGAGTAAGTTAGCATTTTAATTTTTATTATTGCTATCAGCTGTATTGTACCCCGTGTTGACAGTTTTTCAAACGGAATAGCATTTTTAAAATTGATTCAAACGACATGAATCTTTTTGAGACGTTAGTCCGGCTTGTTTTCTATGAGTAAGCAATATAGGTTTAGATTGCAATTGGTCGGAATGATACAAATATTAAGAAATAGTGTTTTCTCAATTTTCTTATCTGAGCTTAGAAGAAAAATTTAAAAAAGTGCGTATTTTTGATCTCGGTAACTCATATTTGTATCGAAATCAATTGAAGCAATGTGAAGCTGGAGGCATTAAAAGATTTACAAAAATTGCAAAATTGCAATAAGGACAAGACTGTGATTCTCGTGATCTTTAATTATTTACTTCTTACATCAAAATCGACCGATTACGATAGAATATTCAGCAATATACAAAACGCATTTTTTAAATTTTCGTTATATGTTGAGATAAATCAGTTGAGAAAAGTGAGTTGTTTGAATTTGTTTATCATTCCGACCAGTTGCAACTTAAAAAAAATTTCTTATTACTTGTTCTCCAACAAACTGGTCGAACTAACTATTCCGTTTGAAATTTTATGTTACAAGAATGTTTAATAAAGTGAAAGATTTGTTTAGTTATTAGATTATTTACTTGATTTTTTGATGAAAATCATCAATCAATGTGACTATTAACACAACGTAGTAATATACCGGATTTAAAAATTGAAGGCAATCTTCGCATCTCGATATCAAAATAAAATTATGTAAAACTGATTACAATACTATATGACCCCTGCAAACAATGCAACTTCTATCTGAAACATTTTTTCATACAACGTATTTTATGAGCTATCACATATCGTCATATTACGAGACTCACCTTGTATAGTGAGCATTGAAATTATTACACTTGTTTTAAATATTTCCTGTACATTTTCTTTGGTCAAGGAACAGATAAACGCAATCTTTCTACCAGCTTATTAACTTTCGTCGCGTTCTTTGCGAAAACCGCGCACAGTTAAATATTTATTGTGTGAAGTTGGAATAGTGTTTTAAAATATTTTCATAATCTTTATTTGGAACGTTCTGCAAGATCTTAGTCTTATAAAAGATTTGTTTACTCACTTTTATTAGATTATTTACTTTATTTATTAATGAAACTGTAAAAAGTATTTTTATATATTCAGTGATGTAATTCGAAATTACATAGTGTAAATTGTGTCGTAAAATTTGAGGGTCACAAAAAAAATTTATGTTGTTGCATGTCTAATAATTCTGTGAAGATACTTGGGTGATGACGATGTCT